GGAGCCATAGCAACAGTTGGTATGTTTACTGCATAATAGCCTGACAAATTCATCTTCAGGCTGATTTTCTGATTATGGACAGGTTGTCTTAGACAGTCTATCCTATTGTTTTGTTTATTTTTTTTACTTAAAAATTACTACTACATATTATAACAATTTACAGGTAAACAACTTTTCACAGAGTCATTTAGCAAAAATTCTTATGATTTCTCACAATGCCCAAATGTTATATATATATATATGTGTATATATATCAGAAGATTCTCCAATATTTCTTCTTAGTAATAGCACACAAACTTTTATAAGGAATTACCCATTATGCATGTTTACATTGTTTTTTTTTCTTAATATCCTTACTGAACTGTTTAGTCTATATCAATAAACTAATTATTGCCAGATTCTGTATAATGCATGATCAATTGTTTCCCATTTTCGCAAACTCTTGTCACTTCTAGCCAAATAGTCTACATGTCATCGACAGTGGCACTTGTATTTAACATGGTCTTTCTACCAGCATTAATAAAAATGCCTAAATAAAAAGCATTCTAAAATTCTTCAAGTAGGTTCATATAAAAAAAAATGTTTCTTCTACTTATTAATAATACTTTTTCTATTTTCTTTTTAGCAAAGATGTCTGCCATATTTGGCGCAGAAAAGCAAATGTTTATGCTCACCCCAGCTTTCCTCTTCCACATGATGTGACCCTGATCACAAGTGTCATTAGGGCATCACATGTACTGGACACATCACAGTAGTGGGTGTCTCTTGCAAGATAACCTGACATGTTCCTCTTCAGATTGGATTTTGTCATTATAGATTGGTTTCTTTACTCAGTCTGTCATGCTATTTATTTTTTTTTTTTTACTTAAAAAGATTTCTACTGCATATTATAACAACAATTTGCAGGTAAACAACTTTTCATACATTTTTTTTTTTGATAAATGCTAATTTGCAAGAACATTTATGACTCTACAGATTGTATACATTTTCTTTTATATCAGAAGTGTAGAGTAATTGGCCATGGTTAAATGTAATTGACAGGAATGCCCAACAAACAGAATTGACAATGTTTACAATAAATAAAAACAAGAGAAAAAAAAGAAAAACAGGACAAAAATAATATTAAGCAAGCAAACAATATATGCAAGGCAAAGCAACAGTAATAAGGCAAAAAGTACATGAACTAAGAATAGTGTTAATACACAAGTGGATACAGTCAACTGAACATGGCATTCTAGCTTCATGACAAGAATGAACAGTCTGGTGAGACTGAGAAATGTCCTATCTTATTGGCTGAGAAAAAAAAATCCTGCATGCATTTGTGTGTGAGTGTGTGCATTGTCTATAAATTAGGGAGAGGGAAGTTTTTTCTTTTGCAATCATTCCTACTAATTGAATCCAACAAGAAGATTCTCTCCAATATTTCTTAGTCATGGAACATTATTTCATAAATGTCCCCTATTATGCAAGTTTACATTTTTATTTCTTGTCTTGATATGTGCCTTTAAGCAAAGTTCCTCTCATCAGAGATCTCTCAAGATTTTTTCATATCTGTCCAGTTTTATATCCAAATATAAACAAAGCAATTTTCTAAAAAATTAATGGATTTTATTTATTAATCCAACAGGTTTTATCACTTTAAAATCTTATTTTTCATACATACTCATATTTCAGTAGGCACTCAGTTTATTTATTAAACAGTATATTTATTTTTGTCTAGACCTGAATATTTTAGAAATCTTATTAAAGAAAAATATGTGGTGTCTTGCAGGATTTGAACCTGCATCCTCCCATGTAGAGAGAACCATCATCAGATCCAATATGCTCTTGACCGACTGAGCTACAGAGCTCTTTAGCTCAGCTGGTCAATAGCATATTGGATGTTGTCATTAAATCCAACTTAAATATTCATATCAAACTAATGACTACCACATTCAAATTGCCATCTTGATTTTTTTTATTCTCATGTCTTTAAAGTCAAAAACAAAGTTTTAAATTTAATACATTTTTATACTCATATGGTCTTTTGCCCGTCTTCAAGCTTCATTCATAAATTAATGTTTTTTAATTATTTTTAATGGGTTTAGTTAAAATTACAATGTTTGGTGTGTACTATACTTGACTATTTTTTTATCCATAATGTTAAATCTGTTAAAATGTCAAGTTGATGTTAAAAATTGCTGTGAAACATTGTTCAATTATTTAAGATGGAATGTTCTGTTATAACATGTCTCTAATTTGTATTTAGATACATTGCTTTTATTTTCAATTTTTCTACTTGAATTGTTCCCCTATATTGCATATGATCCATTATTGTACATTAAAATAAAAATTGTATTTTATATAAATACTGGTATTTGGAAATTGAGATATATTAGAGTTGGGGGCCCCAATATCATGCCGATAAAATATTCAGTCAGTCGGTTTCCATGTCAATGAATGGGATTTCTCCCACTTTTCTGCTGAGGTTTAATGCTTCTATGGTATGTCTTTGATACTTGCGACCACTAGTAGGATTATAGTATTATCATGTCTATTACTCTAATCATTGAATGTATCCAATTACTCAAATTGAATGCACCACATTTTCCTCTGCTTTCATTTTTAACATAGAAACATTCTAAGATCATAATCCACACTTAAATCTTCTAGAAAGACACATTGAAATGTCACATGACAGAATGGGTATATATATATATCTGAATTACTAGTGATATTTGAAGTAAATTTCATATCTAAATGCTGCCTATTGAAAAACATGACAATAATTTCTTCCAATGTAAGACAAAATTAATGGTTTTTTCTATTTTTCCTTTCATATTTGTTAAAAGATTTTCATAAGATTTTTATCAAGTAGAAAAGTATTCTTCAGAAGCAATATGTTACTCTGTATTTTCTTAATTTCCCTTATTTTCACTTCAGATTCTTTTTCTCTCATTCCAGTGTTGTGATCAAACAAGAAACAATTACACATTCATTGATTTTCAATTACAAATTTAGCAAGCTGCATGAAATAATAAGAAAGTAGAATTTAATTTTCTGTTCCAGAAATAATGATAAATTATGCCAGATTTTAAGTATTTTCCATAAGCAATATCTTACACTGTAAACAATATGTTTAGTCAGCAGTTTATTAGTGCAGCACAAAATTAGAAAAGATATCTTCAATAGTATCTAAGGAATAAAAAAAAATTTATTTAAACATTTCAAAAGGTTTATATTTATTCTTATACATCTTTATGAAGATAGAATCATTTATATATTGTATAAAGTGGGATGATAAAGTAATCTTTTCTCATTGCAAAATGTTTAATCTTCACTGGCAGCTGCTGCATTAATCAACTGACTTTAATATATAACTACATGAATCTATCATACTATAGATTGCTTTCATATATTATTCAGTACCTAATTTAATACCTTTCATTGCTTTTTGTTGTTCACATGTTCTTGCTGTATAAAAATCATAGTGGTTATTAATGAGAATTTCAATGAAGGAAAAGGCATATCTTAGTTCTTTTATATTGGGCATTATTCTTTTCAACACAAGGAAATTATTTCAAATAAACTTAATAATTTTTCTATTTTTCTTTCCATATTTGTTAAAAAATGTTTGCAAGATTGTTGTCAAATAATAAGTATTTTACAGAAGCAATATGTTACTCTGTACTTTGTTCATTTCCCTTATTTTCACTTCAGATTATTTTCTTATATTCGTATTAGTCTCAAACAAGCTACACGTTCATTAAAATTGATTTCCTGTTATAAAATTTCCAAGCTTTACAGAATAAAAAGAAATGTTTAACTTTATTATTTACATTCTGACTATTGTTCTCATCTTTGTTGTTGTTATCACAACATTTTGGCTGTTGTGCCCTCCGACCTTCATCAGGTGCATGTCAGTTTGTGAAACCTACAAGGAATTCTGAATTGAACCCTTTATTTAATCTAAGGGGATACACTGTTCCCTTTCTACTGCCCATTTCTAGTTTTTATTTTTAGTAATGCTCATTTATTGTTCACCCATTTCCACTGAGTCTTAGTTCCCACTGCCTTGCCCAGGGTTGAAATCACACTTAGTATGTCATTGAAATTCATGAACAAACACTTTAATTCACTACATTATTGTCAATATAGGATAATTCTCTGTGGGAAACTTGGAACCCTAAACCTAATCTCCCTGCTGATTAGTGCTGTTGCTTGTTATGTTTTGATTGCTGCTGTTGCCTGTCATGTTTTTGCTGTTGCTGAAGATTTGCTGTAGTTTGTCTTTCTTTATTACTTCATTAATACTTTTATTTTCACTTCAGAATACTTTTGTCACGTTGCAATTTTACAGATTAAATTGCCATTATAAAATTATCAGGATTTACAAAATGAAAAAGCAAAAATTGATTTGACTAATGATAGATTATGCCATTGGATTTTAGTATTTTGTGTTATTACATTCTCTGATGTGAATCACATTGTATCTTATGAAAAATAAAAGAATATTGTTTTTATTCTCTCAGGGAAGGCCATCTTGTTAAAACGGCATTTTGGAAGAATGGTCCTTTAGGCTTACTTCCTTTGTGACCATCATTACTTGTCTCCCATGATTGTCAGTCATTTTTCTTTCCAGTGTGTCAATGTGGAAGTTTTCACTTCATATATTCACCGTAAATATGCATCCTTGAAGAAAGAAATATTTTGGCTTTCCATGTTCATAATCTTGTTGGGAAGATAATTAGTGTAGTATAAAAATAGCAAACACCTGTTTGACTATATTGATATCCAAAGAAAGAGTTGGTTGTTTATGTTTAGCAGCATGATACTTATTTTTTTTAGATAGTAATGGTTTTAGAGATACAAATCTTACTAATTAACCCATTGCTAGTGGTAGAAGAGATGGATTCATACCTTTCCCAATGGTATTTCCATGTAAGTGAATATAATGAACCCAATGCCAATTAACAATTCAAAGCCATTATTCATTACATCATCCACACACCGAAACTTATAGCATCTGGTGTTCCTAAGCAGTCACCCATCTAGGTAATGACCAGGCTCAATGTTGCTTAACTTCAGTGTTTGTACAGGAACCAATGCTTTCACCATGATGTGGCTGTAAAACCCAAGAAATAGAAAAAAGTATTTATAGAGCTGAAAATGAAGTCATCTTTTTTCTATGACTTTGAACAGATAAAACCATTTATACATTGGCATTTGATTTTTAAAAAATCATTTTTGCTTTTACAAACTGTCCACTGTTGCATTGTGTTTGATCGTCACTAGCTGCTGCATTATTGTGTCAAATGACTTGGAGTATAGAACTACACATATCTATTATGATATGAACTGATTTCATATATGATGCATTTCCTTTATTAATATATATTTTATTGCTTTTCATTCACAGATAATTTGGCTGTACATGAAGTCTTCACATACATAAAAATCTGTCATTATTTTGACTTTAAATGCAAGAAAACAATATCCCTTTCTTTCCATCAAGAACAGAGGACACATGCTATTGTCATCATTAGAAAGTTGTGCATATACATTTTCATGTGTCAGTTCTCTTTTGTACAAAAACAGTGTTACACATGAATAAACATTAGAGAGTAGGCATATTCTTGTGCAGTTTACAAAGCTATTTAATAAAGTCAGATTTAGTATGCCATATGAATAGACGCATTTGAGAGAGATTTGTAGAATACAGGGTTCTTCTTCTGTACAAACATTTCTTTTGATGGAGTATATACACCAACACACTAGAGAGAAACCATATTCTTGTAAATTTGCAATTCTGCATTTTCACTGATGTCAGATTTGGTGCAACATATGCAAACACAACTGGTCTACTGATGTCATGAATATAGGCAATTTTAAATTATGTTAAAAATTGACCTATTTTCAGTAATGCTGACATTCCTGTAACTAATAAATGTGGTTGTTGCATAGAAAGGATTTGTGAGGTCATAAATTACAACAAAAATTAATTTGGATACTGTATCTGACATACTTAGTAAATGAGAAGCTCTCAAAATGGATATTCTTCTGAAAGTCTGTGGATTTGCATTTTCATTTCAATCACATTTGGTGAACTGCATGCATACATGCACTATTGAGAAACTGTTTCTGTGAAATCTGTTGTTCTGTATTTGTCACATTTGATACAACATATGCAAACACATGCTAGAGAAAGTCCTTGTGAAGTTAGTGAATCTGCATTTTCATGGAAGTCATGTTTTGTGTACCATATGGAAATACACTGGAAAGAATCCACATTCTTGTGAAATATGTGGATCTACAGTTTCAAGAAAGGCAAATTTGCTGAGACATGTAAAGACACATAAACACACTGAAAAGAAATTGTATTCTTATGAAGATTGTGAAGCTTCATTTTCAGTTATGTCAGATTTAGTGAAATATATACATACACAGACTGGTGAGAAACCACACTCTTGTGAAATTTGTAGATCTACATTTTCACAGAAGTCAAGTTTGCTGAGACATATGCGTACTCACACTGGAGAGAAACCATATTCTTGTCAACTTTGTGAATCTGCATTTTCACGGAAGTCATGTTTGGTGCGCCATATGCGAATACACACTGGAGAGAAGCCACACTCTTGTGAAATGTGTGGATCTGCATTTTCAGTAAAGGGAAATTTGGTGAAACACATGCGTATGCACACTGGAGAGAAACCATATTCATGTGAAATTTGTGGATGTTCAGTTAAGTCAGATTTAGCAAAACACATGCGTATACACACTGGAGAGAAACCATATTCTTGTGAAGTTTGTGGATCTGCATTTTCAAGGAATTCACATTTGGTGAGTCATATGCACTCACACAAAGGAGAGAAACCATATTCTTGTGAAATTTGCGGCTATGCATGTTCAGACAAATCAAGTTTGGTTCGCCATATGCGAACACACACTGGTGAGAAACCATATTCTTGTGAAGATTGTGGATCTGCTTTTTCACAGAAGTCACATTTGGTGTGCCATGTGGTAATACACACTGGAGAGAAACCATATTCTTGTGAAATTTGTGGATCTACATTTTCACAGAAGTCAAGTTTGGTGAGACACATGCGTACTCACACTGGAGAGAAACCATATTCTTGTGAAGTTTGTGGATATGCATTTTCTTGGAAAGAAACATTCATGAGACATATGCAAACACACACTGGAGAGAAACCATATTCTTGTAAATTCTGTAATGCATCATTTTCATATACTTCAGGTTTGAAAACTCATGTTCTACTACACACTGGAGAGAAAACATAGTCTTGTGAAATGGGTGGGTCTGAATTTTCAGAGCAGTCACACCTAAAAAGGAACATGCAATCACACCTCATGTGAATTACTATTTTCATAAATACCTCATGTACAAATAAATCTATGAATATATATGAATATATATATAGAGAGAGACTTGTTTGCAAGTCTGGAACAATTTTTTCATGGAATATAAAAAAAACAAGTGAAATGCCAGCTGAAATGTAAAGATTTGCATTTTTGTTGCAAGTTGCATTGAAAACAGCACAAATCTATGCAAAAGAAAATATTATTTGTATTTCATGCAAAATTGAAAACTTCATACAAATTGAAACATATCAAGACAGTGTATGAAAATTTGGGAATGTATTTTTTAAATATGAATGAAATAAAATCATCTTTATTTTCAAGAATCTGGTAAATATGAATTTTGATTTCTTTCACATAAAATATTTTCTGATGAACATTCTTTTCAGGGTCTTTTAATACATTTGAGATATTAATGCAAGGTGAATAGAATCTATCTTAGCCAGAACTTCAGCTCTATTGCTGGATTCAATTTTCCATATTGTTTACTGTTAAGCCATGATATTATTTATATTTGGTGTAAGGAAGTTTTCATATAAACAAAATATTTCCTGATGAACATTCCTTTTCAGGATATTAGTGCAAAGTGAATAGAAATTTTCTCAGTCAGAATTGGACTTTATTCACTCATTCAGTTTTCCATATTGTTTACACGTAGGCTGCAATCCCCTCTACAACTGTTAATTTTACTCTGATTGTATCAAAAAGTACTCTCTATTTGAGGATATTTTCATAATTTTTATACAGTTTTTTTTAAATGGCTGTTATATAACATTTTTGTTAACTAGTTTTCTTCCTGTGAACAACAAAAATTTAAAGGCATTTTAAATAAGATGAAAATCTTCTGCACTAGTATTTGTTTTTTTAATTGTAATGGATCAGTTGAAGAAAACATTAATTTTTTAATTGTAATGGATCAGTTGAAGAAAACATTAATTACTAAGGAAAACGATAAGAGCCCAGTTTTATTTCATATAAATAAAATATTTTCTGATAAACATTCCTTTTTATGATCTTTACTAAAATGTGTTAAAATATTAGAGATGTTAGTACAAAATGAACACAAATTATCTCAAACAAAATCTGAACATTATTCACTGATTTAATTTTTCATATTTTCACCAGTAAGATATACATCCTTCCTAATATAGGATGTAATAAATATTGTTCACTTGTTCATTTTAGTCTGAGTTTCAGGACATGAGAAATATCAGTGCAAAATGAATGCAAACAATCTCAGCCAGAATTTCATCTCTATTCACTGAATCAGTTTCCCATATTGTTTACAGTTAAGCCATGAAGGCCTCCTATATTTGGTGTAAGGAAGTCTTTATATAAACAAAATATATTCTGATGAACATTGCTTTTCAGGGTCTTTTTAATAAAATGTCTTAATACATTTGAGATATTAATGTAAAGTGAATAGAAACTATCTCAGCCAGAATTTCAACTCTATTCACTGATTCAATTTTCCATATTTTTTTTACTGTAAAATTATAAACCTCTTCTATATTTGTTGCAATAGATTGAATGAGACAGTAGTTTCATTTTGACATTGTAACATTTTGTAAATTTAGGACATTTTGATATTTTTATCTGCATTATAACAATTTTTATTTTTGTACTCATTTTTGTCATTTACATGTTTAGACTTTTAAAATTGTTACCTCCTACTAGTCATAAGATTTATTAACAAATATTCAAACATGATTTTCTTATTTTTATAAATATGAAATAAAGCCATTTGCAAAATTATTGCTCTACTCTTTTTGCACTATGCTAATAGGACCAAAACCTATATGTATAGAAAACATTTCAAACATGTAAACTATTTCATTAATACTTTTTCTCACCTTCTCTCTACATATAACTAAGATATTAAGGATATTAAATTTCTTTGGCCTTTTGTTAGAATATACCAATAGTATATCATTGAAACATCAATTTTAAAATGCATTCAGAGTAGAATCTTTAAACTTATGGCTGGCTGTTCGTATCCAGGGATACCTGTCTACTAGGGTAGCTAGCAAATCCCCATTGCAGATGCATGTTCAGGCATACTTATGTTTGTTCAACACCCACACAACCCACTTGTGGTTTATACTGCAACTATGCAGAATGAACATTAGTTACAGTTTTTGGAAAAGAGCAAATTATCTGGCATGATCAAGAGCCTGAACAAGGCCATCACACTCAAACCCTTGGTTACGATGACTTCTGACTTTGTGATAACACAATCATTAACAGCTCTCAAATAGTTCTCTTTCCCCAATTTCATTCACAAGGCTTCGACTAACCAGTGATATGGTTTTCCAGGCACTTTCCAAAGGTGTTATTTGGTGGGATCATCTTCCCCAGACCGATAACATCAAGTTACCTTCCCAGCAAATCAACCATGGTGAGATTTGAACCCAGGTTGCATGGTTAAAAAGTGAATGTTCTAACAACTCAGCCACAATAAATGGCAATTGTTTTATATCTTGAAAGAATTAAAAAACTTCACAATATTTCTTTAATAGAACTTTCTTAATAAATCCCATTATTACATCTAGTAATTGTTTAAAACTAATATTAAATAACGTTTAAATTCTGATAATTAATTTCATGGAGTGTTTACCCATCACATAATAAGTGGAAATTTGTCAAAGGAAAAATAAGTAGTAGAAATGAAACCAGTTGATCTGTCATGATTTATTTTTTCATTACAGATCTGGAGCTTTTTTTTAGATTCTAAAAATGATGTGATCGGCGTA